TGCAGCAGACTGAGCCGCGGATGCAGCAACCAAAGATAACCTACCAATGCCCTGCACTCCAAAATCGGACCACAATAACCAAATTACAACTCATACAATTTTAAGCATCTACATCTATCACATATATAAAATCCGCAAGCTCCCCTCCTCCCCCACCCCAATCCCAGGGAAACCCAAATAAATCAAAATAATCAACAAATCACCTGAGACATAACAGAGAAAACATCCCCCTGAGAATTATTCCCTGGGGGAGGAGCGGGGTTGGATCCGAAACCAACATACTTGCCGCCTTGGGAGGGCGGGATGCCTTCGGGTCTGGAGTCGTTCTCCGCCATTTTCCTTGAGAAAAAGCTCTCTTTATCGGCTGCGGACGCCTCTAACTGAGCCCGAGTATAGATATCCTCCGTCGATCTTGACCTGACCGGAATCCCTCCCCCAGGGCCACGACCACCCGCATTTGCGGCTCTGAAATCAGTAGCCGATTGATTCCGCCTCAAATCGGTAGAGGATCTAAACCCATCATCGTTGTCCCAACTATCCCAACCCCCATTCTTCCCAAAATTACCATCTCCACCACCACCAACACCACGGTTATTCGACAAGGGGGGCTTCTTCTTGCTGCCAACCGATTCCTTGATAACTGGTGGGTCACGCCAGGATCTGCCCTCGGCCAGAGCCTGGATTCTATCCCGGTAAATGCTTGCGGCGTTGGTGTTATACTTGGTGACAATATCGGTCTCCTTGGGGATTCCGTACTGCGCGAGGAACTTGTTGAGCTGCTCATTGCCGCCGGCCTCCATCTTCTTGATCTGGATCTCGGACCAGGAGTCCATGGTGACAGATCGTACGAAGGAGATGTGAACACCAAGGCCCCGGTGCTTGCCGGAACACTCTAAGCACATGAACACGCCGTACGATACAGACGCCCATTGCGGGTTCTTCTGTGCACAATCCACGCACATCTTGTTGCCCGCCTGCGATTGGAGCTCCCGTAACCGTCTCGCTGCCGCCATTCAGGCCCGATCTGATCAATCTTATTCAGATCCCCAAAGAAAATGAAAACGAAAATGAAAAAAAATAAATAAAAAAGAAAAAGGAAGTCTACGAGAAATAAAATTTTGTAACTTTAAATTCTCAAGTTGAGAAGGGGCCTATATTTGAGGAGAGAGGGGAGGGGTATTTGGTTATCGGTGAAAAATGGGGAATCACCGACACCGTAAAAACATTTTTAGGATATTGATGTTTACTGGTGGAATGCACTTTTTTCCTTTTCTTTTCAAAACTGATTCAAAAATGGAAGTCATGGAGTCACTCCCCGTTTTTTGTTTTTTTCCCTTATTCCATGATGCATTAATAGATATATTGAATAAGCATATGTGAGATAGCAAATTTCTAAATGCTACATATTTTTGTGATTCATAAAAATATTAATGTTTTCTTTTTTCTGGGAGAAGAGTAATATATATGATTAAAATTGAGATATATTATGTAAGAAAAAGCCAATCTAACAAACTTAGTATAATAGCTGAGATCAATGGTTGGTGGACTAAGTAAACACCTGCGGACTGAATAGACTAGACAAAATTATAAGATGTCACGTCCAAACTTAAGCTACACAATTAAAAAGAAGACCCGGTACTAACAAAGGGGTTCACTGCCGAGCAAAAACATTGGTGTATATACTCCTCTGCATTATAACCCTAAAGAAACCCTAGCTTTTTAGTTTACTCATACATCACTGGAAAACCCTCTTTTGCTACATGTTTTGGCTATGCATTAGGGAAAGCAAAGATAAAGGCAGGAAGCGAGTTAGTTGTTTAGAAAACAATATAGAGAAAATTGGTCCTCCTGTGACTTGTGACATACAGATAATGGTCATCTCATGTTTGACTGTAGACAAAAATAATTATTGATGTTGACTTTGAGCTTGCCCTTGTAAATGTTTACAAAAAATATGATGTCTAAAATTGATGTATATCTACCTTGTATTAATTTTTGTTAACATTTATGCATGGCTTTATTTCTCTAATAATTGACGTAGTCGATCAGTATAAAGGCATATTATGTGACGTCCTGTTACCCAGTGGGTAACAATGTCCAATAACAGAGTAGATACAAGTGTATGCAATTAAAATAAATGCAAAAGTTACATTCATCCCTTACAAGAATATATCATAATAAGTTGAGGCATAAGGATTAACTACTTTAAATTACATTACTATTGTCTGGTTAATCCTACAAATTACAAAATATCAACCTCACAAAATAAAATGCTCTCAATGCACTATTTAATCACTGGTCTAGGAGAATGGATCCAAGTAAATCTTAAGGGGTAGATCAGCCTCATCTACATTATTTGAGGAAGAATGGATTAGGGTGAGTCCCCATGAAACTTAGTAAGGAAATCAATATTAATTTATGTAATTAATGTTTTAAAGGTTATTAATCGTAATCAGTGAAGATACACAATTATCATTTTAAGATAATAGGTATGCATATCAAAGACTACTAATAAGTTCTCATACTATAACATTAACTCACATATAAATAAAGTAGTAATTTTCGGTTCTATCCATAACAGTTTAATGCAGTGCAATAACAGTTTACTCAATTCGAATATCAAATAATTGTGGGGTGCCTCAAAGACGAAGTATAGCCATAGTCATAGTTTTTACCTGTGTTACCGTATATAGAATTGATCTGATCGCCATTCACAATGGCAGTCGGGCATCACTGTGCCCTATATTGATATAGGTTAAAATGGCTTTGCGCAAAGATATATAAAATATCGTAATTGAACCGAATAGTTTGATTGTCTAGCTAGGACTGTTGATTAGTTATCTATGTGTTACTCCGATATGATAGTCGGTCCATGCTCGTTAGCATGTGCGCGTGCAATCACATCCATGATGTGACTGCCCCACATGTGCAGTTAGCATGCAGGCGAGGGCTTACGAGCTATTTATGCGAGTTAGTAGGTTTCCCCCCTTTGATATTTCTAGTTTTCACTTTATTTTATTCTTTTTTGAAAATTTCTCAATTATGTTGTGCAAAAATTAATAAAATTAAAATTAAAATAAAATCCTGAACTTAATTTTAAGTGTTGATAAAATTAAAATTAACGTTAAAACATCATAAATTACAAAAATATAAATTTTAAAAACACAACATCCGAATATAGAGGTTCTGAGGTGTTATATAACCTAGACGAATAGTGGCTGGTTGGGGTGAGTGGACATGTTTATTTGTGTGTGTGTGCATCCTATCGAATGAACGAGGGATTTGCCTACGAGGCATGCACACACCTGCAAGGCATTACCCCGAGCTTTTCTCGCGAGACTTGTCCGTGAGGCTTGCCTTCTAGGATTTGAATCCCGTGGGGTGTTATCTTTTCCCATTTTTTTATCTTCATTTCAGTTTTAAGCATGCATTTAAATTATTTGGCAAGAAAATATTTTTAAACAAAATTTAAAATCTGAATTGAAATTAAACATGAAAATAGTTTGAGGATTCTTTTGTCAATCAATTGAAGGGTGTCATATTTGAAAATTTTAAAATAACTCGAGATATTTATCCCACATCTCATCATCTAGTTCTAAGTAGCCTCATCAAGGAAGAGATATACTACCTTGACCATGGGAATTGTCCTGGATCTAAAGACCTTCTCTTATCAATCAATGATTTTGACTGGGTATTATGAGTAGGACATGTTAGATCACATCGGGAGTCGCTAGTGTTAAATGATATGGGAAGGGTCATGATGGTATTTCCTGAGCATTGAGACATGGAAGATGTCATTGAGACCAGTGAATTCCGACGATAGGGCATTGTCGTATGCTACAAGGCCAATACATTCTAGTATTTCGAAGGGCCCACAAAGCGAAGACTTAGCTTTCCTCTTTTCCCAAATTGTGTGTTTCTTTTGGCCGAAAAGACTTTAAGGAAGATATGGTCACCCATAACAAATTCTAGGTTCTTCTATCAATTTTCCTCATAGCTCTTTTATCGACTTTGAACAATCAGGAGGTTTTT